TCTGAGGAACCTCTGAATTTCTACCAAAACTGTACTGTTTTGTGCTTCCAGTGGTTTTTTTTCTCTCGAATATGCTTAGCAAAACACACCATCTCCTTATACCATCACACTGTTGATAACTTTGAATGGATGCTCATCTAAGTTCTCGCCTTGAGCTGCGCCGTTCTCCTCTTTACAAGTGCTTCCATCCCGATATAAACTAATATAGCTTTTACAAACAAGCTCTTAATGTATGTCAGTATTATTTCAGATTAAGGCACCATTCTCCTGGAGTGCAATTGAAATCCGCCGCTCTCACTTTCACATTTAAAGGGCCATTAAAACTGTCTGTTATATGGAAACTCCGAGCTATTTTGCTCTATGTCTTTGAGACAGTCCCTATAAAATGCATTTAGGCTTATGGACTGTTGTACCGGCGCTCGCAATGGATGTGTAGCTCCGGTGCGGGCGCCAGTGTGAAATCGCAGTAAATTCAAATAAAAGGTCTTGTTGTATAGCAGAACTTGTTCACAAAGTGCTGGTGTGAATTAATGTGACTTTCTATCAGTATAATGCAGTCAAAAGCTGTTATGCTTGGCCTCCTCCTGCAACGTTGGAAACAAACTACCTTCGTTTTCTCGCATACGGACTCGCTAAGTGCAATGTGATTACAGCGCTATAAAGCTGTGCTATCTATAAAACAACCATTGACGACTGACTTTCTTTTTGTGTGCGATCGCGAGAGCCGGGTTAACACGTACAGGTCTCTTTGACCTTTTTATGGGGAAGGCAAAACGAGAAGCTCTTTCCATTACTGCCTCACATCAAAGCCTTGGCAGCATAAATTGATCTTTAATAGCGTGGAGGCTTTTGTGCCAGGGAATCCTGCTGCCTGCTTATTGAAAACAGTTGTTAATTCTATACTTCAGTAAACTCAGACAGGGGGGAGGGAGAAATCAGCCCTAACAGGGAACAGATTGAGGCAAAACAAGAACTTACTGTGTTGAAATTAATGGCAGATGCACTTACTGGTAGTTTAAATGTTTCATTAGATGCTAATGTCTTACTGTGTTTTTAATTGTTGAGGAATTATTTGCTGGAATATGAAAACCATCTGTTTGTTATCTACCTGGAGGGGGAATCTTTACTCAGGCTCTGCTCTCAGGGTTGTTAAAGGAGTTTATCCTTATGGTGCAACCTGGTGGAGCTGTCAGTCTTCATTAACATCATTATGATTGCACAAGAAAGACTGTGAAAACCCACAGACGCCCATCTGCACACATACACACTCCTAAACAAGGTTATGTACACACTCACATGCTCATACATATGGGAGATGCTTGCTTTCCAAAGAAAGATCATTTTTACAAGAAACTGCATTAAGTTTGTTATGACAGTTAATCTAGCGAGCAGCAGTAGGTAATGATCATATGCCAAAACCGAGCGGAGTAGTGCCAGAAAGAGAATGCGAGTAATAAAAATGAACACAATAGATATCATACTTTACGTGGCTGGACTTCAGACTAATTTTAGAGTTAGTGAGATGCCCTATTAAACCTTAATAGTGGAGTAATGGACGATGTGTGGACATAGAGGTTTATAGACAGAACTGCTTGAGCTTTCTGATTTATTGACTGTGGGTGGAAACCCGATTTGCTCTGAACTTGTTGATGATGGTAATTTATCGAGGCTACCCACATTGCACTTTTTTGTTTAACGCCTCTATTAATCAAATCTCTTCAAAATTACTCCGAGAACTCATACGAAATGTCCCACATGCCTTCAGGAAAAAGTACTTGTTCATTTTTCAAAGGCTATTTAAGAGGCATTAAGTGGAATTGAAAAGGGGAAACTAATAACACATCTCCACATTGCTTTGCAATTTTTATAATCGTAGTAAAAGGTGTACCTGCTTAACTGGTTAAGCGTAGATGTACTATCTGAGTTTAATAGCTTTGTTAATAGTTGATTTAATCGTGGTGAGTAAATAAATACGCACCACCTTTTTACATAGACATTTGCATTATTTACATATACATTGAGAATAGCATAACTGCTTCCTGGTAGTAATTTATTTAGAGATGCTTTTTCTACAGAAGCTCTAATCCTGAGTACAAAACTTCATGCATCATGTCCTGCATCATGCAAAAATTCCTTTCACTTTTCTCAACTTTTTTGAAATCTTCATCTAAATGTTGAACATTGCTGCAGGCTAAGAGAGCCGTATAATAATTAATTACTAATTATAGTAAGTAAATAATTACTATAAATGCCCAGGATTTTAACACCCATTGTCTATTACCAGCTTCTTGTCACTTGAACTGGCCAATACTGATCTAAAACCTGTTTATTTAAATGTTTATCAGGAGTTCTTAAACAGTGTAAGCTTTCTGCCCAGAGTCAGAAAAAGTAATACCAGCTGTTGCCAAGTTTGAGTTGAAATAAATGCTCTAAGTTGGTTAAATGAAAATCAAATAAACAAGCACAAACATGCTCACACTAAAATAAATGTTTTTAATAAGTCTAATGAAAACAAACAGGCTTACACAAAATGTTATCCATATTAGATTATGAGCTTAAAAGCTTAATGAGAAATTAAATGAGATATTAAATAATTTTACAGTTTACAGTAGTTTTTAAAATGCATTTATATTTAACCATGTGTATTTGATTAGATTATTATTCATTGTCCTTTTATTATTTTATCTAATAATTTATTATTCAATTAGTTTATTTATATGTATGTTGCCCCTTCTATTTTTTCTTTCTTTTTTCAGGAATGCTGGTAACATTATTTCCTTTTTTATATGTTTCTCTTGAGCTTAAATGAGCAGAATGCCAATTTAAGTTGAGAATACATTGTGAAAAATGTGAAAACCTTTGGTACTTTTGAAATTTGAATTATGAACCACATTTTTACATGAGCTCTATCTCACAGAGTCCCAGGAAGTTTCAGAGGATTATCAGCCAAATTTGTTAAGTGCTGATCGACTGGATTATACCTGCACATTACCGCTGTCTGCTTTTCTCATTTGGTGATGAGTCTCTCATCTGAGATGCTTTATGAAGTCTAAATGAAGGCAGAACAGTCTTTGACCTTGACTGGGTGATACACTTCCCTTGAGGTAGAAGTTTAGACGAAGTTAATGAGGCAGCTTATTGTAAATGACATGTAGATGCATATAAGAAAAGCAGTCATTCAGTGCATTGCTTCTCAACAGAAATGAAACACATACATAAAAAATGCACCTAGATGACCTGTCTAACTTCAGACTTTACAGTTCCTTGTCCTCCTATTTGTCATTGCCAACTCTCACTCTCTTTCGCTCTCTCTCTCGCTCTCTCTCTCTCTCTGAGCAGTGCAGGCCTCTTATCACGTTGGCCTGCTGGTAGAAGCAAGCGTCTCTGCCTGGAGTCACTGAGCTCTCCCTCTGAGAGAGATCCTTTCACATAGCTAATGGCTACAGAAAGGGAACAGTTTCATTTTAATTATGTGCTTTACTCAAGGGCCCTCTTCCCCGCAGTCCCTTATCCCGCCTGTGCGCCTTTAACAACCCACAGCCTGCACCAGTGAAAAGAGATATTCTCCGACCCTCATCTTATTTCCTCATCCCATCCCGCTGCCTTTGTCAGGAACTATCGCAAAGAATCTGTTTTTATTTTCCTACATGATGGAGAAGTATGAAAGAACGAGTGAGACAGAGAAAGAGAATGACTGGGAGGGAAAGATTGGAAAAGAAATGAGCGGACCGATCTATCTCTCCATCTCGGTAAACAACCCCCCAGTGCGCCGTGGCCTACTCTGCTTTTTCCATTAAGTGACACTGCAGTCATTTACTACTCATCTCGACTCATAAAACAGGCTTTTTATGTGCTGAGAGATGAAGGCGGCGGGTTTTGGCAGGGCAAGGGTTATGGAAACAACCGTCTGAATGGCGAAGCTTCAGAAGACGTAAATCGCAGAACTGCGAACGATGTAAAACTGCCTTGACGACAGTTGCCGGGTCCCGGGAGTATGGCATTGTTCTCCGGACTTTACTGGGGCTCAGATGTTTCGGATTTCATCTCCTCCTCCTGTTTTCCCCCTCGTCCTTCTCCTCTGCGCTCTGCTCTTGTTCTTTATGATTTCTAGTCTGCTGAAGAACACCTGCTGTGAATCTCTGGTTCTTGCATGGGGAGAGTGGCTTACTGAATGAAAAACGGCTTTTGATGTGGTTCGGTTGGGTTTTATTTCTCTTTCTCTCAAGTTTGAAATGAAGTCAGGCTTCAGTGGCTGAAATCATATGGATGTAATTTGATGATGTCACAGAAAAGGCATTTCTTTGTGATGCATCTATTAATAAAGCTTTATTTAGTTATTTATTTATTGTTTGCTTGCTTGCTTTTTATTTTTTTTCGCTTTTTATTTTATAGAACAGTGGAGGAAATCAGTTTCCCAAGAACACAGCAGTTCCTTATTTGTCAGCTGTGCATTACTCTCTGTGCCAAAACTCTCTTATTTTTATTAAAGTTGTGAGTCATGAAAATGACATGATATAGGACCTTTATACATTGTGTGGTATTGTAAGTCTATCCTCCACAGCCTCATTTTCATCAATTCAATATAGCGTCTAACCTGACTAAAGTCTGTTGCTGCTGAAAATCGAGCTTTGCCATCACAGGAATCAATTACATTTTAAAATATATTACAATAAAATTGTAATAATATTTCACAATATTATGTTTTTCTGTATTTTTGATCAAAGAAATGCAGCTTTGGTGAGCATAACAGACTCAACTTTTGAACAGTAGAGTACATCCAGTAGCTGCCTTTTAACTGAGCTGTTTCCATCGGTTTTGTGGTCTGGGCCCTATCCAAATATAATCTATTTAGTTACTGAGCTCTAATCGATTATTGTATTCTGATCCAGAGAGCATCAGTATTGTCTCTTACGTTTACCAGTATGTTTTACATCTTTTAGTGCCTTTTCTCTTCTTGCTGAATCTGACTGTTCATTTTTTGCTGTCTTTGTGTTTTCCAGCTGAAGCCGGGCCAGAACAACTGTAAAGACAGCGATAGCGTGAGTGGAGAATCCAAACCCTCCATCCGGAGCAGCTCCAGAGATAGACTGACAGACGTGAGTCCAATCAAATCTGTGCATCATTCGCCATACTAACAAAAAACTACATTTAGTGCTGTTTTTTTTTTTCTGTAATGCTCATACACAGGGTTTTCATGGATTTTTTGGAAATGTGTTTGCCTGGAAGAGTCATGGAATTTCTAATATATATATATATATATATAGTTCTGCTTTAAAATATTCCATCTGCACTTGTGTAGAGTACAATTTACTTCCAAGTCACAGTGAAGTCTGGTTTGTTAGCTAATTGTTCCTTTGAGTTGTGAGAACCCTGCGTTTATAATGGTCACAAATAATATGCAAAATGTTTCAGAACTGGCATTTAGTTTAGAAGTTCACCATTGCTATTGATATTAGATACTGCTTGAATGTTTGAGCAACCAGAAAATATATTTTTAACACCTGAGTTAAGGTAGGCCTGGTCCCCTACAATAACTGTTGTGAAACCTGATCATTATCAGTCAGTTGGTGGCTTTTCTTCTCTGCCTTGTTCTTAAGAGCAACGAGGTTCAATATTTAAACAGTGTTTTATAGTTTCTCTTATTCACTCCATTGGTCTAAACTGACAAGGCCCTGTGCCAACAGGAACAATAAGAGTGGTTAAAGAGCTGAGCTCTTCTTGAGCTCAGTGTGTGTGCTTGTGTTGTCAGAATGTGAGGTAGAGGAGTGCGGAGGCTGTCTGCACCCTCAGGCCTGCAGACTCTGGTATGTGTTTGTGCTCGGGTGGTGATAAGAACATCCTATTTACTCAGCTGGCAGCTTCAGTGGAGACTCAGGCTGAAGCGCGACTGTGCTTATACACCGTGGAAGTGGAGACGACAGGAAGTAACATGGTGAAAATGTACCAGCGACCATGCTTGGACATCAGTGATCTACTATAAAAACACATGGCACATATCTACTTGTTCAATATGGAAATGTGAAAGTGAGATGATCTGCCATTAGTGTGTGTATTGTAATGTTGTATGTTGTATTTCTTTATTCAGCCCTTGCATGACAATAATTATCGCCTTTTAAAAATTGTACTATCACACACTCTACACACATACAGCCATATATAACCCTCTTGAAGTAGCATTCAACCATGTAAAGGCTGTCTATACAGTTTACATTGCACTGAAAGTTATGTTATCCTTGTTTATGGATCTTATACACAGGCTTGTGTGGAAGCTCAGACAGTCTGGCGTAGGCTCTCTTCAAACCTCAAGCCTTGGCTCCCTCAATGGAGATGTGAGTGTGCGAGTGTGTGCCGGTGCTATCAGATATCGGGCATAATTAGAGCTGTCAGCTGGAGGGTGAGGCGAGTCGTCGGAACAGACATGGCAGAACGAGTTGAGCGCGACCTCTCCTGCATGTAGCTATAGGATGCTTGGCCAGGCATGAAATGAAATAAGTAATTTGATGTTGACATCAGAAATTGAAATGATACCTGCAGCCCCTCGTCAGGGAAGAGAGAGAAGACCGAAGAGATAAAGCATGAGAGGGGGGCCAGGAGAAGGGAAGGGAGATAGGAAAAGAAGAAATGTAAGTGGAATGGGGGAAACAGATAAAGTTAGAGATTAAACAAAAGATAGAGTTTTTATTGGACAGGTAAAAACAACCCACAAAGATATGCAGAATGTGTTGTGTGTGATTGGTTTTAACTTGAGTCTTAAAGGGATAGTTCACCCAAAACAGAAAATTCTGTCATCATCTTACTCACCTTATCTCTCGTATGCTGTTATTCTTAGTAGAATTTAGTAGTAGTAGTAGTAGAATTTGTTTTAATCTGGTTGCAGGCTAGATGTGAGCTCCAGTAGAGGTGAAGATTAGAAAATGACAATTTTTATTTTTGGGTGACCTATCCGTCAAGAATCAAGTTAAAACCAAGTTAAAGTTAAAAATAAAATAAAATAATAAACAATTCATTTATTATTTATAAAATATATAAGAACAGTTTATTATTTATGTATTTTTTTTATTATTTTTGTTTGTGTATTATCTTAATTCTAACTTAAATGTTAGCAATAGAATAAGGTGAATACATTTTTATTTTGACATGATAAAACTGAGGCGGTGAGGGATTAAAGTATAGTCTATTCAACGTCATTCTTTTTTTTTTATTCTTTAACTGACAAAACATTGAAAATTAGAAGTAGTAGTAGAAAGAAATTAGGATTGAAAATTACTTGATAACTTGAACCTTCTTGTTCTTCCCAGCCTCGTTTGTATTCTCATCAAACTAATGTGCCTAGTTTTTTGGTAAGTGCATTTCTCTGTTTGAAACCCTTGAGTATTCTAAACAGGAAGTGCTGAAAGGTGCCGGAGATACTTTTTTGCTTGAGCAGTTTCTCAGGGTCACACTCAATGTAGAGCATCCCAGTCCTGAGGGGGTGGTGGAAGCAGGTTATTCACAGTCACACCGTAAAAAAAGACACTTCATACCAACATAGAGGTACTAGATAACAGATATGGAGAGCAGGGCCTACATTTTGGCACAGGATTGCAGGTATTGTGCATACTTTTACTCATTCCCACAAAGTTCCCACAAACATTTATTCACTATAGCATGAAGTTCCATGAATCCACACAGATGAACAGATCAAATCAGTAATTCGAAATCATTCTGCCAGACTGTAATTTCAAAAACAGCATCAGTGATTAAATGCTACTTGCTCTCTCGCTCAATATGACATGCAGATGGCTTTACATCGCCACATTGTGCTTGCAATACAAGCTTAGAATCAATGAAGCGTCTACATTACCGGCACACTGCTGGTGCAGTGCAGTTTTGGTGCATGTTATAGTCTGTACAAAGGATGATCTACCGGTGCAAAATTTTAGTTGGCTAATGAAAGGTTTTTTTAGTAAACACATCAAAATTACACAGGCAGCACATGCTCACACTGATAGAAGATGATCACCCACCAGCACAACATCTTAAGGGTGTAAAATATTAATACAAAGTTGTCCATCTAGCTGCATTTTGATGTCAAGATCATCAGAATGAGCATTTGATTCCCTGAAAAGTGAAAATTTGGCCTGTTGGTGAGACTGACTGGACTGTAGTTTTCGAGTTTCATTTTTAATTAAATTCAATTCAAAGTTTAAAATCAAACTAAACATAGGCTATTGCACAATAGAAAGTACTCCATTGGACCAAGTTGTGAGATTTCAAATTTCTGTAAGCATTTTCCTAGCAATACAAATACAATTCACCACATAATTGCATCAATTGTAAATGAGCATTGTGAGCAAATATTTAGGTGGGATAATTGTAATTATTTAAAAAAATATGTTTAAAATCAGTGCTAATAAAAAAAAGTGCTAATGATGTCTTCTCTCTCGTACTCCTTTCCACTGCACTGATGAAAATAAATGAGAGAGTTGAAATGTTGATCTTCTCTTGACGGAGAGGAAGCTGGGGTCAAAAGAGGTCACACAGGACATCTTGCTCTCTTTCCCCCCTTCTTTTCCTCTTTTCCTCACCCTCTCTCCTCCCTCTCCTCTCTCCCCCTGTCCCCATGCGCTGCCAGCTCATTAAGCTACAAATGGTGCATCAGTCTTGTTCTCGCCAGTGGTAACCCCACACCTTGGATAAATTGGCAGGCTTGCTGTATTTGCTCTGAAGCCCCGGGTCCCCTTTCAGCCGCGTTTGAAGCCAGCATGGCGGCACGGTTTCCCCAGGCAGGGTGGCTGGAGGCCAGGGCAAAGGGAAGAGGAGAGAAGGGGATGTGTGGAGGAGACAGGCGAATTAAACACACATGTGTTTAGTCTCTGCGGCAGGAGTGAAATGCCATCATTATCTGGCTGCCTATCAAATAAATTGGCAATTACTGGGCGCTGGATTCCAGTAAACAGCACATTAATGCTTTTCTTTTGGTGTGTGTGTGTTTGCCGAGAGGGATGGGGGACGGACACATCGTGCCCCCTGAGCATTTGGTGCCTTTGCCCACCCGTCACCATCTTGCTGATGAGAGACAAAGCAGGAGACGATAATGAGGCCAGTCCGAGCCAGGAACAAAACCAAACTAAAAGGCTTAAATATGACAGTTAATTTAACATCATCGTCACTGCTGTGTCCCTCCTACAGTGGGACCATCCTAAAGCGGCTCTTTAACTCTCATTACAGCCTGCTAATCTGACACAGAGAGGCACAGACAGACAGTAAAAAGAGACAGAGTGACTGAGAGAAAGCGATGACATTACCTGCTCTTTGGTCGCCATAGTGACAGTACTCTGGGATTTCTGGGTAACACATTTTATTGCTCATTCATCATTCAGTGCGGTCTTAACGGAGACAGAGCAATGAACTATTTACACTGAGGGTCAGGTGGCAGTTTGGCCTGTTTAGTGGTGTGTCATGTGTGGGGATCGGGTGTGTAGCGTTAATAACATGCTCTCAACACACACACACATAAGAGAAATCTGCAGATTTTCAGAGCGAATTCATTTAGAGTTCATATCTAGAATTCAAATTGGTGTTCTATTCATAATAGATCTAAATTCAAAATTCAGATATAGATTCAGAATTATCATCACAGCAGTGCTATTCAGAATAGAGGAGTGAAACCTGATTTTCAGTTTCAGAACTCAGTTAGGATACAAGATGTAAATTCTGAATCATAATCTCAGCAGTGCCATTCACTATAGATAGATAATAGACAGATCTGATTTTCAGTCTGAAGGAACATAATCAGAATTAAATTTAGATACAGAATTCAGATTCAAAATCTCAGCTGTGCTTTTCTTAAGAGGTGAGGCAGACCAGATTTTAAGGTGTAAATGAACAGATTCAGAAATTCAGTTGTGTTACAGAATTTAGATATAAATGTGAGACAGGCTTGATTTTGGCTTTGAAGGAACAGAATCAGAATTCAGTTTGAATAAAGAATTCAGGTATAAATTCAGATTCATAATCTCAGCAGTGCTATTCATAATAGGTGAGACAGACCTAATTTTGAGGTTGAAGGAATAAAAGTAGAATTCATATTCAGAATTCAAGCTTAGTTAATTTT